GAATGGAGGAGAAGGGATTACAGCGTGACCATCCCCCCTGGGGGGTGATTTCTCGCTTTCTGTCTCTCTGTCTCTCTCTGTCTGTCTGGCGAGCGCACGTGCCCTATAGTGAAAATCTCTCCAAAACAAAATTTTATTTAACTTTATTTTACTTATTTTTTTTTTATTGGATCAGAGAGGGACAGAGCAAGAGAGAGAGAGAGAGAGAGAGAGAAAGTGAGAAAGCAAGCCACGAGGTCTAGGACTTGAACCTTGACCAGCCAGGTGAGAGTCCAGCTCCGTTAACCACCATGCCATATGCTGACCCCAGAGCTTTCATCTTTAATGTTAGAGATAAAACAATCTTATCATTAAAAAAAAAAAAGCATTTGATTAGTAAAGCCTATTCTTCCCCCTAGTTTGTATTTTTTAATCTTCACTTAGAAAGTATGAATTCAGGATGGGACCTTAGTGTAATGGCTGTGTTGCTGGACTCCCATGGAGTCGACCACTGTTTGAGTCTCAGGCCCAGTGGCTTAAACTCACGCCGGGCACGTGTGTGTGTGTGCCTAAGATCCCAAGAGGAGAATGGAGGAGAAGGGATTGCGGCGTGGCCATCCCCCCTGGGGGGTGATTTCTCGCTTTCTGTCTCTCTGTCTCTCTCTGTCTGTCTGGCGAGCGCACGCGCCCTACAGTGAAAAAAAAAAAAAAATCTCTCAAAAAAAAAAAAAAAAAGGAAGTATGAATTCAGAAACCAGCAGACTGTGCGGTGTTATGGTATAATGGTTACCTTGCTGAACTCTTATGTAGTGGACCACGGTTTGAGTCCTGGACCTGGCAGCTTAAAACTCCAGCTGGGTGTATGTACATGTGTGCCCAAGATCTTGAGAATGGAGGCAAAGGGAATGTGGTGTGGCCATCTGCCCTGGGGGGGATCTCTTGCTTTCTGTCTCTTTCTCTCTATCCCATGAACACACATTCCCTATAGTAAAATCTCTCTCTCTAAAAAAAGAAAAAGTAAATTCATAAGAAAAAAAATTGTGATGCTATAAAAATCTGTATCTGGAACAAGAAGTTACAAGTATTCCATTTATTTTAATAAATAAAAATGTCTTCCTTCCTATAATGTAAATACCCAGTAAACAAAACACACATGGTTACGCTAACTGCTGGTTCCCATCTAATAAAATAAATTTAAGAATAGCATTAACATATTCTGGAAAGAGTTAGGAGGGTATTCCTACCTGTGTAAAGAGAGGCAAACAAGGGAACCAGCAGTTAGCGTAATGGGAAGCAATCTTGAAACTGTGAATTATAAAACTAAAAACAGTAAGAACAGACAAACTGGACAGATAAACAATTAGTTGTTTTTATTATACACAGTATTTAAAGATAATCTAACTTGCGACTAATGGCATTACATTAGTATAATTATCTTTATTATTATTTATTGATTATTTTTATTTATTTGTTTATTTATTACTAGCCTAGAGAATTTGATGCCTCTGGAAAGGCCATTAAGGTTGTAACTTTGTACGTAGGACTTTATATATTTACCAGAATACTTAAATTCTTAGCAATTTTAGCTTTTAGTATTCATGAGCTCATGAATATATGGTTAACAGATGAGCAAAAATTGTCTTATAATTTTTTTCAATGTTCTGGAGAAGTCTAATATAATTTTAAAAGGGGTAAAAGCTGCTGTGCAAGAGGCATTAGTATTTTCAAAGGGCAATTGTTGGGAACCAGCAGTTAGCGTAATGGCTATGTCGCTGGACTCCCACGTAGTCGACCGCGGTTCGTGTCCCGGACCCGGTGGCTTAAAACTCACGCCGGGTGTGTGTGCGTGCGTGCCCAAGATCCCGAGAGGAGAATGGAGGAGAAGGGATTGCGGCGTGACCATCCCCCCTGGGGGGTGATTTCTCGCTTTCTGTCTCTATGTCTATCTCTGTCTGTCTGGCGAGCGCACGCGCCCTACAGTGAAAAAAAAAAAAAAATCTCTCAAAAAAAAAAAAAAAAAAAAAAGGCAATTGTTGAAACAAAATTTGTTTTGTGTCCTGGTTAGAATCTAGCCATGAAATGGCTTGTGTTGAGTGGGAAATAAAATCTTGATATAACTCACGAGGCACCTGTCATGCACTGATCGAACTGCTCGTCCCTCGATCCTGACTGGGAAGCCTTTTCTAGCATCTCAAGCATATGTTAATCTGCTGATATGCCTGTGGAGTGCATCCAGTTTGTGCACCAGTACCAGTACCAGTATACTCTCCTGTTCCAGTCAGCATTTCAAGTGTGATAGATACTTCATGTTGTTGATTCCTATTTGCCTGCTATCGGGCTTCCTCAGACCAATTAGATTTCCA